TTCAAACTTGTTGTGGAGATTGCCCCAACCTTGTTTGTAAAGGTTCGGTCACCTCCTTCAAGGGCACTACTAGTGGAATCACGACATCTTGCATTGTGTGAGGACGTGAAGAGAATACGGTGGCCCTAGTGGCTTCCTAGGGAGCATTGTGCCTCCACACCGCTTCAACGAAGACGTCCTTCCCCTCAAAGGGAAGAAACTTCGGTAACACATTCTCGTCTCCACCGGCTCCACTTGTGGTTATCTCTTACCTTTACTTTGTGCAAGCTATTATTGTGTTGTACCCTTTGCTTGCACTTGTTTCTGTTGTTGTTGGCATCATATAAGTTGCTCACCTAGTTGCACATCTAGACAACATTTGTTGCTAACCCTAATTTGTCAAGAAAAGCTAAAAATTGGTAGTTGCCTGTTCACCCCCCTGTAGTCAACCATATCGGTCCTTCCAAACTTCCTGTTGAATGTAAGTTAGTTATGGTGTGATCCTTCTATGTGTGCTAGGGGAATACAGTAATATGGATTAGTTCTTGCACAGTATATTCAGTAAACCTAGATTGATTTATCCACACTGAAGTATCTTTCCTTTGGTGTATTCCTGTATAGACAAATGGGTTTAGTTATCTTCATAGTAGAAGCGCCAAAATTGGATTGACATACGGTTCCTCTTTTCTTGTGACATGTCTCTAGAGATTTTATTTAGGGATTTTATTATTTATGGCACTAGCTGTGTCCCATTACTCAGATTTGCCATTAGAAATTACAACTGCTCAAAAATGCCATCATTCTGTGAGATGCTTGCTCAAAAATGTCATTAGATATCTAAAAAATATCGCCGTTCTGTTAGATGTTTGCTCAAAAAATGCCATTAGACATCATTATTGTCAGGTCAAACCCGTTGACCATCTTATATGACAAAAATACCCCTAGACCCACATGTCAGCTCTCTCTCTATCACAATGATAAGTGTGGGCTCCACTCGTCAAGAGTAAGCAAGTGAACCATTTTAGAGGAAAATAAGAGCGTCGTTGGGATCAAATGGGACCCACACTTTATTATAGTGAGATAGACGGAAAGCTGACATGTTGGCCCATAGATATTTAAAGACATTATAACCGAGCACTTTTCCTGCCCTCTCAGGCCATCAAGGTTTTTGGCCATCGGATCTTGTGGATGAACATTTTCTAGCCGTCCGATCGACTCCCGGATGGATGTTTCTAGGGCAGCTATTCCCGTAACAAATTCTGCCTTATATGGTTAATTGGGCCAATATGGGCTTTCTGATTGCACTTGTTGCTTGGTATTGCTCTGTAGAGAGAGGTAGTCGGTACGTCTCCTTCCCCTTCTCTCCCTATCGCAAAAAACCCCTTGAGAAGCAGTAAACCCAGGCGGCGGCCGTCGCGCCAAGCAGGCGGATGATAACATCTCAACGGAGGCCCTCTTGTTGGGTGCCTGGGTCCCTGCCCATGGATCTTTGTCATCGCGCTGATGGTAAATTACGCCCCTTTCTCCTCCCGACCTCTCCTTTTCATCGTGACCTGGATGGATCCTAGGTGCCCTGCAGCCCCCGTCCTCATCGCCGTCATAGTACCTCCTCTCGCGCCTCCCGTATAACGTCCGCCGCTTGTTTGACCCCTTGGCTTCATCTCTTATCTCGTGGGACGAAACCCTACCATGCTCTAGCAGCGGAGCAGCTTCCCTTGCAATGGGCGTCTGTGCAGTTACAACCGTCATATCTGGCGAGCCCAATTAGCTTAAAAATACAGCACCCGGAGCTCAAGTCACAGGGGCATCACTGGCCAGGTTGTGACTGATTATAGCGGATTGAGCCCACACCCAGGTGTTGACGATCACAGGCGGCCGGTCGCTGATGAAGGAAATGGAACCCAATGAAGGGATCCTGAAAGTCCATGGTACACACATGTCTCAACAACATTTCTTTGGAAAAATCACATACAAAGGTTATCTTTTTTGTTCTTGACGTTCAATTAGTTCATAGGATACAACTTGTAGTTCTGGACTTTGCCTGAACTCTGCTCTTTTGCTACCTAGGTGGATCCTAGATGCTCTTATTTTGCTCATGGCCTAAACTTAGCTTTTCATAAATGGGTACAGCTAACAACTTAACATGGCTAAATGATTTGCTGGGTCCCAAGATGTAGTCCACCGAGACAGTAGAATTGTTCTTATCTGATAAGTAAACTACATAATCATTACATCAGTAGTTGTTTTAGGCATACCTATCTCAACTATTGCCATTGAAATGTCTAAACAATGGCATAGAATTGTTCTTACCAGTTTTTTAAAGAGATTCACCTGCGGTTTTCTTCGGGATAACGCCGAGTATGTAATACTACTAGCCAGAGTATAGTTTAATTACTATTACTGGCTAATTTGGCCAATCATACAATTATAGTCAGTTCTACCATACAATCATCAAACATTCATATAGGACAGCACATATAATCCTATCTGAAAGTTTTGTTGCCAATGAACCTAAGACTCCTTGAGCAGAATTACTTTCTTCTGAAGTTAATGGAGACATATACAGTTGTAGATTTTGGTCAGTTTTTGCTTTGCTGATTGATTATTTATATTTGACATGCTTATTCTGCATGGAGTTACTCAGACCATCTCTAAGATTGCAGGGGAACTAATACAACAAGCTTACGCGGAATGTAGGACATGAGCTCTTTAGATAATCTTGCTTGGCTGTATGGATTAATTTCATGTGGTAAATTAACTATTCTGAAAATCAAAGCTGCAGACCTTGTCATCAGCAAAAAAGGGTGTTTTGTGAATGGAAGCAGTGGGTTGAAGTTTATCTGGAATAGGGCATTGTGGCACACCATGCACTGTCCTCTTCATCATTTTCGAGGGTGCCATCATGATGTCTGCATTTACCTACACCGCCTACTTTATCTTAGACCTTCAATTAATTGGTACACTCCATATATTATACAGTTTGGCGAATTTTGAAAAATGTTAAGCTGCACTACTGTAATCTAGGGTCTTCCTATACTTATACCGGTAATATATGTTAACATGTTTAATAGTTGGGCAGAAAGTTTCAGTTGATTGTAACTGCTTCATCGTAGAAAGAAACATGCCATATATATGCTACTTCAATCCTATGTGGGATTTTATTAATGCTGTTGTAGCTTGGAATTGTCTACTTATGTCTCGTGATGCTATGATCCAGTTCTGTATTTCGCCAATGTGTGCCTGTAGTAGGACAAATAAAATCTCCTCAAATGTCAGATTTTGATTGTTCCCCTACGACGTACCCTATGGCTAACTTTGTTGTTACAAGCTATCTCTACATCGAATATTAGTCTCTCACATCAAATATGCATAATTGTATGGTTTATGTGCATGACATTTGAATTATATATCCATACATTTCTTTACTTGATCTCTCAAAGGTTCAAGGTTTTTTTAGAGATGCAGACGGGTACGCATCTGTCCATGAAGAGAAAATTACAAAAGGACAACCGTTAAAGCATCAACAATTGGTATAGTTTTAGCTTTGTGGACAGATGTAATGTTGTGGACGTGTATGCTTGCATCGAGGTTTTTTAGAGTTATTGTTTTGTGCAAAAACTAGATCTGAAGCTTTCAACATTGTTCATTTTCATGCATAAATTCAGGTTTGCTTTTCTCAAAGAATAATTTTATTATACGTTAGCACTTCCAACATTGTTCAGCTTCAAGCATAAATTCAGGTTTGATTTTCTTATAGAATGATTCTCTTGTAGGTTAGATTTCAAAGCTTTCAAAATTGCACAGTTTATGCATAAATTCATGTACTAGAGATCAAAATTGAGCCCAAGAAGGCCTTTTATGGTCTGCCAATGATCACCCTGTTGCATTGTTCCTGAGGTGTAACAACTACTCCCTCTGTTCCCAAATATTTGTCTTTCTAGGCATTTCAAATAGACACAACATACGGATGTATATAGACATATTTTAGAGTGTAGATTCACTCATTTTGCTCTGTATGTGGTCATTGGTTGAAATCTCTAGAAAGACAAATATTTAGGAACGGAGGGAGTATATTACATCATGCTATTTATATTACCTTGATGTTTCATTATTCTGATGTATGCCTATTTATTTTTAGAAATACCTACCATTTTATTGTAGAAATATACGGGCGCAGCAACGCGTGCCATTAATGATCTAGTTTTGGTCATTATAACATGACAAACGAGATTCGAGCTCACAGTAATGGTGTCCAGTGGCACTTTTGAGCATGTGCCTAACGAATCGATGGTATTTTTGAGCAGTTGAAATTCTTAGTGGCAAAACTGAGTAGTGGGATATAACTAGTGGCATAAATGAGAAAAAAACTTTTTATTTATTCAAAACATTTACTTTCATGAATAGACTGAATTTGGTTATAGTACTACTTTAATGTGCAGTGTTGATGCAGTCTGGATTTTTTTTTTCACCTTTCAGAATCTTTTACTACTTTGGTCTGTCCTTTGTTCTTGAATAAAAATTGTCAGCTGCATTGTCTAGAATCCAGTTTTGTTTTTTGAGAATCATCGGGGAGGAGTCCCTCCACCTGGTCTGATTTGTGTGCAAATATACATTTCCCAGTCAATCACTGACAACTCGTTCCATTATGTGGAAGGGGGTAGCATGGCAAAAATCTAACACTAATCTAACTGGCCCAGGAAGGCAGGAACAAAATAGCTGCTAATCTTGGTCGCGTCAAATCCCTGGTAGAAGTATTAACCAGCCAACGGATCAGATTCACGCACACTCGCGCAGGCTCCACCGAACGGATCACAGGAGGACATCGAACGGCTGCCGTTGCACCATCAGCAAGCCGTCCACTCCGGAGCACAGCTCGCCAGTCGCCGCCACTACGCCTCCGTCCCCCGATCAGCCATGGCGGGCGAAACCCTCGCGGCCTCCCCCGCCTCGTCACCAAAACCCTAAACCCTATCCCACCGCCGAACCCCGCCACCCCAGTCCACACGTCCGGCGCGGCGGCCATGGGGCCCCGTGGAGACGGCGTCCGCTTCATCTCCTCCGGCGTCAAGCTCCCGCGCGCCTCCCCGGCCCCTGCCCCGGCGCACGCCCTGCTCTCCGCCGCGCTCCCCCCGTTCGCTCACATCGGCCGGGCCATCGACGCCGCGGCCCGCCGCGTCGCCGCGTCGTTCCCCCGCGTCCCAGCCGCGCGGGCCGAGACGCCGGCCGCGCCCTTGCCGCGGAGGCACGGGAAGGACGGCGGCGGGGCCGGGGGCGAGGAGCGAGTCCTAATCAGCGAGGTGGCGGTGCGGGGAAAGGACGGGGAGCCCCTGGAGAGGCCCGAGCTGGAGGAGGCGGCCGCCGCGGCCCTGCGAGCGTGCCGCCCCAACGCGGCGCTCACGGTGAGGGAGGTGCAGGAGGATGTGCACCGCGTGGTGGAGAGTGGCCTCTTCCGCTCCTGCATGCCCGTTGCTGTCGACACCCGCGACGGCATTCGCCTTGTCTTTGAGGTCAGGATTTTGCCTGTTCCCCAATCCCTTTCCCGTGGCTTATTTTTGGAGTTGAAGGTTGAGAAATTTGGGATGTTCTGTTGTTTAGGTGGAGCCGAACCAGGACTTCCACGGGCTGGTCTGTGAGGGTGCCAACATGCTGCCTTCCAAGTTCCTAGATGACTCATTTCGCGACCGCCATGGTACTTGTTCTCATGTTTAAGAGTCTGTTACGTTAGATATGGTTATTCATTTGTGTAACCGAGTGTGTTGATTTACTTTGCACAGTGCTACATGAACCAACACTGCATGTTAGCTTTAGTCCATTTAAGTATGTAAATTTGTCTGGCACAGAGATATCTAGAATGCATAAGAGAATTACCCATACCATGCCTATTTTATCTAATGTAACATTGGTCTAAAATGAGGCCTGCATTGAAAAATTATCACCGTTTTTGGTCCTATTATGATACCAATAGATTGAACTGTGCAGCATAATTATGCGACAGTTACAATGCAAAAGCGACATGGCAAATAAAGCACGCCTTTTATGCGGACTCACATGGTTCTTGTTGTTGGTTTAGTTTTAATCTTAAAGCCTGTTTTTCTACACTGCATAGAAATCTATGGTAAAATAGGTCCATCTACAGTGACATAATCTCTCAGTATCCTTTCTTTATAGAGAAATGATGTAAAACTACTGAATTAGGAACTGAGTTGGCCTCAGTTTGGTGGGAGAGTGTACAATTCTATAGCCTTGGTCAAGTCCTCTTCACTTGAGTGTGGGGTGTATATCTCTTCTTTAACAGAACATGTAGTTCCTCCTGCATGTTTCTTCAAATATTATTTCTCTAAAAGAAAGAGAAACGATTTTTTTAATATTAGTCTATTATTATTAGCTTCTAAGATTTGTTCTTGAGACCTATGATTGGTGTTTGCATTATGCAGGGAAAATAATCAACATAAGACATTTAGATCAAGTGATTAAGTCCATTAACGGATGGTATCAGGAGCGCGGTCTTACTGGCATGGTAGGTGGGGAAGCAATTAATATATATTCATATTCTACCATTTTGCATAATTTTTTGTTTTCTTCTATTTGGTGATGTATTGCAATTTGTTTGAGAACATTGCTGAACAATAGGCATCTGCTGCACTTGTCTTAAGGAACAAGTGTATATGCTTTATATATTCTTGGCTTCTAGTTCCACAGGACTTGAGTTGTCAATTTCTGTTTTTGTAATGCACTTGCCATCATTTACATCTCACCTGTCACCAGTTCCAAATTGGTAGGGCATACAACATAGTTCTGTTTTACCTGTTGTTTCTTACTTCCTGGTTCCTGCTATGTATATGGAACTTAATTGTCACGCCATGCTTTTGATTCTACATGTTCTTAATTGTAACAAACTAGAAACGTGATGCGAGAAAAAAATTGAATGTGTGGTAGTTGCTAACATGTTAGTTGTGTCTAGCAAACATTTAGGTGCGTACCATTTTTTGGTAAGAAGCAATATTATTTACAATTTTAGCTAGTAAAGTAATATTTTATTGCTATATAATGGTAAATCAACGAAGGCACTTGATTTTATTTCAGGTTTCGTATGCTGAGATCCTTTCTGGAGGAATTCTAAGGCTACAAGTTTCTGAAGCTGAGGTTAATAATATCAATATTCGCTTTCTGGATAGAAGAACGTGAGAATCATAGCTTGACTTAGTGAGATCCTCTTTGCTGATTAGTGTTTTATGGCCATTTATTACTCTGATCATTTGTATCTTCTTTCTCTCTCCATCTCTCTATCATTAGTGGTGAACCAACTATCGGGAAAACAAAACCAGAGACCATACTTCAGCAGCTTACCACCAAGAAGGGTCAGGTCAGAGCATTTTAGAAGTTACTTGCTGTATTTGTATTTTAATCTACTTTGCACGTATTATTGATGATATCCATGATTTTATGAACAGTTCTCATTTCACACTTTGGTATACCGGTATATGGTGATATACGTTTAAGTATTTTTAGTGTGGTGTGGAAGTTGCTATGCAAATACCATGACCAAAACTACAAGTACTATTGTTAAAAGGATGCCAACAATATACCAGATGTGGTTGGAATCGGATCATGCTTGCATAGTTTTTGTGTATGTAGGCTTGGTTTGATGTCAATTTGAAACTGCTGTCCTCTAGCCTTGATGCTGTAATGGACATCTTATCTATCTTATTAATGATGAAAATAGGCATACAATAGAGCACAAGTGAAAAGAGATGTTGAAACAATACTCACTATGGGAATTATGGAGGATGTCACAATAATTCCGCAGCCTGTGGGAGGTGAAGCTAATTTATAATTCCCATTTTCTTGAAGCTGGTCTTCATTTTCTCAAGTACCTGTGCTCTTATCTATTGTCTTGTGCAGATTCTAATAAGGTGGATCTTGTCATGAATCTTGTTGAACGCAAATCCGGTGGTTTCTCTGCTGGTGGTGGCATTTCGAGTGGGTTAGTGCTGTTTATTTAGTGAACCCCATTGAGTGAATTGTATGCTTTCATAATGTATGTTTCTTAACCTGTGAGGCGCTGAGGTAGTTTGTTATGTACTGGATTTCGAATACCATATGTGGCCTATATACAAAACAATTGTCTTAACATATACCATGCTATTTTCTGTGCAGGATAACAAATGGGCCTCTTTCTGGATTAATAGGCAGGTCAGTAGATTCCTCAGTAAATACTATCTTATTTCCTCTGGGATGGAATATGGCTTGTTTAATTATGTAATAATATTGCCATGGTAATACTTTGAAGATTTAATCGTTCTTAGCTCCAACTGAGCTTCGAGCCTTTCTAAAATAACTAACAATTCCAAGAAGCAACCTGACATATAACCTGTTCATAATTAACTATAGGCTTAAAATGTATCAGTTAGAAAGGGGCTCGTGCTCATGATATGAGCTATTCTCAAGCCCCGCCATCACATTGTAGGGCTAAAGTTAAGATGACCCTCCAAAGCCCAAGCATGACTTTAGGAACTGGCAATTTTAGATGTTGGTTTTAATTTTGTTATTTATCTTATACCTGCCTGGTTAAACTAGGAAGTTCTAAATCTTTTTTTTTTACCTCACACTGGAGTTTTTAAACAGCTTTGCATATTCTCAGCGGAATGTTTTTGGGAGGAACAAGAAGTTGAATCTCTCACTAGAGAGGGGCCAAATAGATTCTATATTTCGTTTAAACTACACTGACCCTTGGATTGACGGTGACAATAAGAGGACCTCCAGAACTGTCATGGTTCAGGTATTTACCTTTAGTATGATATCATCACAGTTCGATGATTCAATCAGCTGTGAATCATGTGCATGCGCTTACGATAGTTTTCCTTGTCAGAACTCTAGGACCCCTGGAACACTTATCCATGGTGGGGAGCATCCTGACCATAGTCCTATTACAATTGGACGGGTAACTGCTGGCATTGAATATAGCCGACCTTTCAGGCCTAAATGGAGTGGTACTCTTGGATTGATATTTCAGGTAAACACGTGAATAAGAGTTGTAGTAATCGATTCGCCTTTTCCCCTGCATGTAGGCCTATATAGTTGTATTAATAGTTGTAGCAGAAGTCTAAAGCAGACATAGTTGTGTACTCATGTGATGTTGGTACTAACTTTGTTGATTGAACCGTATAAATATGCATTACTGTTTCCTTTGCTTACCTCTCCCTAAAAATAGCCTAACTGCTTTCTGTTGACACTTTCTATGCAGCATGCTGGTGCTCGTGATGATAAAGGCAATCCTATGATCAGAGATTTCTATAACAGCCAATTAACTGCAAGGTCTCAATCCTGATTTCTCATTCAACTTTAGTTTGTACCACAAGTATATACTCCCTCCGTTCCTAAATATAAGTCTTTTTAGAGATTCTAATATGGACTACGTACGGAGCAAAATGAGTGAATCTACACTCTAAATATGTCTATATACATTCATATGTACTTCATATAGAAATCTCTAAGAAGACTTATATTTAGGGACGGGGGGAGTACATAACAGTGTACATCATGAATACAGTTGTCAGATTAAGTTACTATTCGAAATGTGATAGTCCTGTCATGAAAATGCAGCGGAAATCCTTATGATGATACATTACTTGCTAAGCTTGAAAGTGTCTACACAGACTCTGGAGATCATAGCTCTACAATGGTTAGTATTTATCCTCTGCATTTTACTATTTTCTAATCTTGCTGTGACAATTTCTTATATCATACTGTTGTTACTGCTTCCAGTTTGTTTTCAACGTCGAGCAAGGTCTGCCCATTCTTCCAGAGTGGCTTAGTTTCAACAGAGTGACAGCCCGTTTGAGGCAGAGCTATGAAATTGGTCCTGCCCGACTTCTTCTAAGGTATGTTTTAGGCATGCCGTGCCATACCAATAGTGAAAACATCAGTTTAACCTGGAGGTCTGCACACAGTGGACTTACATTTTTGTTGTTATGTTACCTAATATATCATTCTATTCTATGATCTAGTGCTTCTGGAGGTCATGTGGAGGGAAACTTTTCGCCTCATGAAGCATTTGCAATTGGTGGGACAAACAGTGTAAGAGGATATGAAGAAGGTGCTGTTGGTTCTGGCCGCTCATATGCAGTTGGTAGTGGTGAAGTCTCTTGCCGCTTGGTAAGCCTTGCCTCTCTTGTTCGCAATATTAAGTTATTTGTTTAAACTGAACATCCACATGAAACACCTCTACATAAAATGCGCACAACCATATGCTATTCTCATAAAGAACTAGTCAGCAACATCAATGCACACATATCAAGAGAAAACTAAAAATGCAGTATTTGATTTAGTTTGCAATTTTAGGATGAAGTCTTATTTGCTCGTATTTAAGAATATAACAGTAAATCGATTATTTTGTTTGAGACAAAAATAAATAAATACACATGCAGTTCAGTGTAACATCTCCAATCCATGTTGGACACATATTAACTGCATTATGCAGGCGTGCAACCTGGTACCTGTGCATGCATGGCCCTTCTTAGCCACGCATAGGAGGGTACTATTTTGAATACCCAATGATTTGTTACTTGCCAATGACAAACTATTTTGAATTATTTCTGTACTTGTGTTAATGATCCAATGATTTGTTACTTGTCATACATAATTTCATGGCTGGAAAATTAGTACTTTAATCGTGGACTATTCATGATTGCTACCTGCCATGACATCAAATGCATTTGACTAGTTCTTGTGCTACTCTGATGTATGTTATGCTTGCCGTATGATTTGCATTAAAGAAAAAAAAAATCAGCCTGCTTTGATTACTCACAGTTGTCATTTTCTGTGTAGTTTGGTCCGTTGGAAGGTGTGGTCTTTGGTGACTATGGTAGTGATCTTGGCTCTGGTCCAACAGTTCCTGGTAAGTCATGTTGTACTCACATTTTGCTGTGATATATAATTTTTAGTCCATATCTGTGGTCTCGAAAGCAGGCAGGCTCTGTACATGTACTCAAATTCTCTAAGCCTTGTTTTGGGTTTGAGGAAAAATCTCCAATTCAGATTCAGAATGAAGAAAACTATTGCTTTTGGCCCCTATTCTAGTTAGAAGATTTTGCTGCTGCTGGAACAGGCCTGACAGGGGTTCCACCTCCTGATTTTGTAGAGCAATTTTGATGTATCACCTCTTCTCATTTGCGCAATCTCTCGTCGTTTTTTTAGGTGACCCAGCAGGAGCACGTGGGAAGCCAGGAAGCGGTTATGGGTATGGTGTTGGCATCCGTGTGGACTCCCCGCTGGGACCTTTGAGACTTGAATACGCTTTCAATGACAAACAAGCAAGACGATTTCACTTTGGGGTTGGGCACAGAAATTAAACTGTTGAGGTGTCTGTTATTTGATCTCTGTCAGCCTTAATCTGATTTACTGAGCATGCACTGTTAGGGATAGTGCTGTCGTCTTTGCGATGTCGATAGAAGTTTCCGCAAAGCAAATTTTGTGTAGCCCAGATTGCCTGAACATATACAGTTCTCCATTCCTTCAATCCTGTGTAAACTTTGCTGGAAGCCACAACCAGAGAAGGTTCTCCAGCTGGCAAGTCGCAGCGAGTTTTGTTGATATGAAAATTTGAGCTAAGAAATCAAAATTGAGGACCTGTGTTGGTAATGCGCCGCATGCTTGCTTGAATCCAGCAAGCCATGTTTGCATGTAATGCAGCGGCTCCAGGTAGCCATCCCGCTAGGTTGTTTGAAACTTTGAACAATTTGGCCAACACATATTCCTGGGAATGTCACCATGTTCAGCTCGATGGACTTTCCTCATCTCCAAGTTTGTAATGATAATCTGAACGATCAGTGTCGTGTTATGAGTTGTAACTAACCACAATGCTCATGTGCAACATCTCGTGAGCAACAATATAACTAACCGCAATGCTCATGTGCAACATCTCGTGAGTGACAGCAAAACAATCACGGCAAGAGAGAATTTGGTGAAGGCGATTGATTCTTCAAGTACAGTTCCTAATTTCTTTGCACCTACCTTTGGATGAAATCATAATCCAAGTAGACTCAGTCTAGAAATTCTAGCACCAAAGTCCCAACAGGCCCCATGGGCAAACACAACATCATTTCAACGAGCCAGTTGGAAACAGTACTCCAAAGCAAGATTGCTTTTAAATACTCTATATGGCAAGAGAAAAGAAATTGATGATGTATAAACTTTCAACACAATCAAAAGGGTTAACAGGACCAACTGCAGTCTGGAGCCATGATTGTGAGCAGGTATTTAAAAGTGTCGAATCGGAATGCCACAAATCAGTTCTAGTTGCATCTTCTTACTGGACAGCAAACCCAGCGGTTGTGTCTGTCACCCCATATGATTCTCTTAAACAACAAAATGAGGGATGTCCAGCCACCGCATATGGGTCGCCACACTGCTGTATTTCCTACTCCCTCCGTTCGGAATTACTTGTCGCGAAAATGGATGTATCTAGATGTATTTTAGTTCTAGATACATCCATTTTCAAGACAAGTAATTTCGAACGGAGGGAGTAGTAAACAACGGTCAGACACAATGACGAGGAGTAATAGTGTATGCTACACATGGCGAACGCAATCCCATCTTGTTTCTTGGTCCTTGCCTTCAGAGCACAAAGAAAGGTTGACGTGTGGCAAAGTTCTCGGGCTTCAGAAGACACTATGAACAGCTGGTATAGTTGCAGTGGTGCAGTCATATGTCACAAGCTGATCTCCTTCGGTAGGCTGATCTCCAGGAAATACAAGCTGCCAATGTGGAACCGCAAATTAGGTATGTAGAGAAAAGAATAATGTTGCTGCTTATTTTCCAAGAATATAACAGTGTCCTCTGCTTTCAAGGCATGGGGCTGTGTATAACAACGTGATAATGAAAAGCAATTGTGTCAAAATTAGCATGTGCTGTGAAGTGTGAAGGAATGTGGGTTATGCATTTGTACTGTGAAAATGCGTATGGCAGGTTAGAATTGTGCGAATATGGGCATAACACAGATGCATTTGGCTAATGACTATTGATGATTGCATTAATGCATATGGCTGCTGACAAAATTTACTCAGGTCCATATCTTTGCTTGGGTGAAGGGAGCAGTATGTTTAAGGCTATTGCCAAACACTGCTGCAAACATATTATTATGCCATGTTTGGGTAAAGGGACCGGTATGTTTAAGCCTATTGTCAAACACTGCTGCGAACATATTATTATACTAATGCAACCTTCATGCCATAAATTCACCCTATAGATGATAGAACATAGGTCATTTACTCATTTTCTCTATGATGCACTCACTGCCAACAGCATATGATGTCAATCTGCTACGATACTATCAACTACTCCCTCCGTCCCATAATATAAGAGTGTTTTTAACACTACACTAGTGTCAAAAACGCTCTTATATTATGGGATAGAGGGAGTAGAATACAAGAACTCAATTACCACCCTCTAACATAGATATTAGTTGTTTTTTCTCAAATCACAGAGTAGAAGTGCTTCAGAACTATACAGACAAGTCCTTTGTTCAGAGACATCAACAAACCTCGCAGACATGACGGCCATGCCAACAAAGACTGCTTTGACAGCTTGCTTCTGGCCAGCATAGTCAAATGCTAGAGGTAACAACTCATGCAAAGTGAGGAAAGCCATAACACCACCAACTGCGTAAAGACAAATGGGAAGTCAACAAATTACTAAGCATGAAATATCACGTTTTAGCTCTACCAACAGACTAACCTGATGCAAGTAGGCCTTCAAGAATTTCAGGATTTAAGTTGCTCGGAAACAAGACAGCTGCAGTAATCACATTTGCATCAGTGGTCGATAGGTTATTAAAGAATAATCTTACAGAAAGGCTCACAAAAATAGCATACCTACAAAAAATACTCCTAGTGGCTCAGCCAAACCAGAGAGTGTTGCATATTTAAATGCTTGCCATTTGCTTTGATATGCAAGAAAGAAGGAAACACAGAGAAACATTATCAGCTGCAAAAAAGTAAGTCCAATAATGACAAAAGGAATAAAAGGAAATATTGAGCTATAAAGAGAAATTATAATTTCCCTTCTTTCTAAAGTACAATCATTTCAAACATGGTCATGCTTTGTAGGTGCTTTGGAATCTAATCGCCCTTTAAGACTGGAAGAACAGATAAAGCTCACATAGCCAAGATCAGAGCCACATTTGAGAAGTTCTTAGATTGTATGTCATTTAATGATAATGCATAACAAGCATGACTTATATTTGTGTAACCAACTTATAACATTTGGCTACAGAAAACCAAGAATTCGTAGCACTTGCGGTAGTGGACTCAAGACTCATTTGTGAAAGCTGGTGTGAACTTCAAACTTCACTAATTATTCATCTCTACATGGGGAAAACAGGTACCTTTTGGTAGCAAAATAGAGTGGCAGAGCTACAGCAACCCCCTGAGAAGGTAAAAAGTGTCAACTAGTTAGGATAGTAGATCAAAAAGGAAATTGGCAACATGTCAGACTGTCAGCAGTCTCGGATATACTCCCTCCGTCCCAAAATAAGTGTAACTGATTTAGCACAACTTTGTACTAAATCAGCAACACTTATTTTGGGATGGTGGGAGTATGATTTTGTAGAACTATGGCTTCTTTTTAATTTCTCTCCATAAAATGGAATTATTTAATTTTCCGTGTAGTAATTTCTTTCAAAATAATAGATCCTGCTAACACAATTTGCAAACTCTCCCTTGTACGTAATGATATGTTTGATGCCAACTAATTCTACTATGGTCACTAAGCATCAAACTGAACTACACAGATCAAAAGGAAAAATATAAAAGTTGGATAGTGTGGAGACCTAGCAAATATCAGAATACTCGAAACTTCATGGCAAAACAACACTGCAAATGAGTTAAGATTCATCACGGCCCTCTTGTCTTGCCATGAATTAGTTTGCCATGAGATTGGGCTTTCATATATCAAACCTATATATTGACTCCCTGGTACACTATAACAAACAAATTTTTCATGGCAGTTGAATCTTCTTACAAAGAGCACCCCAAGGGCTATCCTAAGTGCCAATGGTGCAATACATAGCTGCATATAAGAATTCTTAGGCTACTTAACCAGAAAGGCTGATAGGTTGATTTATATACCTCGGGTATGTTATGTAAAGCAATAGCGATAGCCAAGTTAACTCCCACGCGAAGACCCTGCATTTTCGTTATAACCGAATATAATTAGTGCAAGCTATAAATAGTAATAAAAAAGGTGCATGAACCCTTGGAAAACCAAAACAACCAAGCTATGCTCCAGTAATTTTTCTACTGTAAAAAAATGCAAGGTGCAAAACGTCCTCTTAGCAAATCAATGATGCCACTACACTGAGATGAATACACGACGGCATTACCTTCACGGATCCAAGAAATACTGCCATTCCCTCAGGAAAATTGTGCAAGCTAATTCCTGCAGCTCAGAATAAGTACAAAGTCAAAACGATTGTGATGAATGTTTGACTTCAGTCAAAGCTAATATGCTGAGTATATAAAAACAGAGGCAGTAACTTACCAACAGCAGTAATGATGCCACTGAATAAGACTTGCCGGCGATGTTTTTTCATCATATCTTTGCCTGACCCGTCATCATCAGTCTGCTTTCCACAAAAGAAAACCAACTTCTATTCAGCCCACTTATTTTGGTAAGAAAACAGATTTGATATGAATGATGCTGGAAACATCCCCGAGGATTGTTCATTCCAACCTTTTTCTTGCTTGCATCAGTTGTTGGGACAAAGGTTGGCTCTGGAATAAACTTGACAACGAAACCAAAGAAAAGAACTCCCGCAAAGAACTGCAAGATATCGCAATGTGTTATCTGAGATAGACTGAAGTTTCATGACATGGATTCTAAAACTGCAAGAAAGATCCAACCCACCCAAAGGTTAGCCTTCAAGAAGCCAATGGAGTTGAGTGCATTGTGTGCCAAGTCTAGAAACGAGATGCTCAACATAAGTCCAGCAGCAAAGCCCTGCATGTAGCATGAGCAATACATAGAACACGAACAATCGGACAACCATTACTTTTACTTACCTAAAGGACAGATAATCAATAACTTAAAAAAAAGGCAGTTGATGATGACCTGGAGGAGGCCGAGCCTCTTAAGGTCAGGGGAAGGGTTGACGATCACGAGCAGCGCACCTGAAGACACAAATCTTGAGCTCAGCTTAAGCGGTCACAAAGAATCCTCGCAGGATATCACGTACTCCCTCCGTTCCAAAATATAGTGCGCCCGCGCTTTTCAAGGTTCAACTTACTTTTGCTCCCGCCGCAGTAATTTATGGTCAAAGTTGAAGCACGGGAACCGAGGACGCACTATATTTTGG